TCACCGAACTAAATACAATTATACCTCTTTCTGATTATAGAGAAGATGATTGACTTGTTTCCAGAACAAAAAAAATTCCAAAAAAAATGATGATTTTTCTAAGCCTTTAGCCTTACTTTTTTATCAAAAATCATGCCCCTCTTAAAACACGCCACATTTTTCAGAAAAAGACTATTTCCCCAAACTAAATACAATTCTACCTCTTTCTAATTATAGAGAAGATGATTGACTTGTTTCTAGAACAAAAAAATTTCCATAAAAATCGATGATTTTACTAAGCCTATAGCCTTACTTTTTTATCAAAAATCATGCCCCTCTTAAAACACGCCACATTCTTCAGAAAAAGACTTTCTCCTCAAACTAAATACAATTCTACCTCTTTCTGATTATAGAGAAGATGATTGACTTGTTTTCAGAACAAAAAAAATTCCAAAAAAATCGATGATTTTTCTAAGCCTTTAGCCTTACTTTTTTATCAAAAATCATGCCCCTCTTAAAACACGCCACATTTTTCAGAAAAAGACTATTTCCCCAAACTAAATACAATTCTACCTCTTTCTAATTATAGAGAAGATGATTGACTTGTTTCTAGAACAAAAAAATTTCCATAAAAATCGATGATTTTTCTAAGCCTTTAGCATTACTTTTTTATCAAAAATCATGCCCCTCTTAAAACACGCCACATTCTTCAGAAAAAGACTTTTTCACCGAACTAAATACAATTATACCTCTTTCTGATTATAGAGAAGATGATTGACTTGTTTCCAGAACAAAAAAAATTCCAAAAAAATGATGATTTTTCTAAGCCTTTAGCCTTACTTTTTTATCAAAAATCATGCCCCTCTTAAAACACGCCACATTTTTCAGAAAAAGACTATTTCCCCAAACTAAATACAATTCTACCTCTTTCTAATTATAGAGAAGATGATTGACTAGTTTCTAGAACAAAAAAATTTCCATAAAAATCGATGATTTTTCTAAGCCTTTAGCCTTACTTTTTTATCAAAAATCATGCCCCTCTTAAAACACGCCACATTCTTCAGAAAAAGACTTTTTCACCGAACTAAATACAATCAAACCTCTTTCTGATTATAGAGAAGATGATTGACTTGTTTCCAGAACAAAAAAAATTCCAAAAAAATTGATGATTTTTCTAAGCCTTTAGCCTTACTTTTTTATCAAAAATCATGCCCCTCTTAAAAGACGCCACATTTTTCAGAAAAAGACTATTTCCCCAAACTAACCTCTTTCTAATTATACTAATTATACTTTCAAATTCTACCTCTTTCTAATTATAGAGAAGATGATTGACTTGTTTCTAGAACAAAAAAATTTCCATAAAAATCGATGATTTTTCTAAGCCTTTAGCCTTACTTTTTTATCAAAAATCATGCCCCTCTTAAAACACGCCACATTCTTCAGAAAAAGACTTTTTCACCGAACTAAATACAATTATACCTCTTTCTGATTATAGAGAAGATGATTGACTTGTTTCCAGAACAAAAAAAATTCCAAAAAAATTGATGATTTTTCTAAGCCTTTAGCCTTACTTTTTTATCAAAAATCATCCCCTCTTCAAAGACGCCACATTCTTCAAAAAAAGACTTTTTCCCCAAACTAAATATAATTCTACCTCTTTCTGATTATAGAGAAGATGATTGACTTGTTTCTAGAACAAAATAAATTCCAAAAAAATCGATGATTTTTTTAAGCCTTTAGCCTTACATTTTTATCAAAAATCATCCCCTCTTTAAAGACGCCACATTCTTCAAAAAAAGACTTTTTCTCCAAACTAAATACAATTCTACCTCTTTCTGATTATAGAGAAGATGATTGACTTGTTTCTAGAACAAAAAAATTTCCAAAAAAAGCGATGATTTTTCTAAGCCTTTAGCCTTACTTTTTTATCAAAAATCATGCCCCTCTTAAAACACGCCACATTCTTAAGAAAAAGACTTTTTCTCCAAACTAAATACAATTCTACCTCTTTCTGATTATAGAGAAGATGATTGACTTGTTTCTAGAACAAAAAAATTTCCAAAAAAAGCGATGATTTTTCTAAGCCTTTAGCCTTACTTTTTTATCAAAAATCATGCCCCTCTTAAAACACGCCACATTCTTCAGAAAAAAACTTTTTCACCGAACTAAATACAATTCTACCTCTTTCTGATTATAGAGAAGATGATTGACTTGTTTCCAGAACAAAAAAATTTCCATAAAAATCGATGATTTTACTAAGCCTATAGCCTTACTTTTTTATCAAAAATCATGCCCCTCTTAAAACACGCCACATTTTTCAGAAAAAGACTTTTTCACCGAACTAAATACAATTATACCTCTTTCTGATTATAGAGAAGATGATTGACTTGTTTCCAGAACAAAAAAATTTCCATAAAAATCGATGATTTTACTAAGCCTATAGCCTTACTTTTTTATCAAAAATCATGCCCCTCTTAAAACACGCCACATTCTTCAGAAAAAGACTTTTTCACCGAACTAAATACAATTATACCTCTTTCTGATTATAGAGAAGATGATTGACTTGTTTCCAGAACAAAAAAAAATGATGATTTTTCAAGCCTTTGCTTATTTTTTATCAAAAATCATGCCCCTCTTAAACACGCACATTCTTCAAAAAGACTTTTCCCCAAACTAAATACAATTCTACCTCTTTCTGATTATAGAGAAGATGATGACTTGTTTCAGAACAAAAAAAATTCCAAAAAAATCGATGATTTTTCTAAGCCTTTAGCTTTACTTTTTTATAAAAAATCATCCCTCTTAAAGAGCCACATTCTTCAAAAAAGACTTTTTCCCCAATAAATACTAATTCTACTCTTTTCTGATTATAGAGAAGATGATTGACTTGTTTCTAGAACAAAAAAATTCCAAAAAAATCGATGATTTTTTTAAGCTTTAGCCTTACTTTTTATCAAAAATCATGCCCTTTAAAGACGCACACATTCTTCAAAAAAAGACTTTTTCCCAAACTAAATACAATTCTACCTCTTTCTGATTATAGAGAAGATGATTGACTTGTTTCTAGAACAAAAAATTTCAAAAAACGATGATTTTTCTAAGCCTTTAGCCTTACTTTTTTATCAAAAATCATGCCCTCTTAAAACACGCCACATTCTTAAGAAAAAGACTTTTCTCCAACTAAATACAATTCTACCTCTTTCTGATTATAGAGAAGATGATTGACTTGTTTCTAGAACAAAAAAATTTCCAAAAACGATGATTTTTTAAGCCTTTAGCCTTACTTTTTTATCAAAAATCATGCCCCTCTTAAAACACGCCACATTCTTCAGAAAAAGACTTTTTCACCACTAAATACAATTATCTCTTTCTGATTATAGAGAAGATGATTGACTTGTTTCAGAACAAAAAAATTCAAAAAAAATCGATGATTTTTCTAAGCCTTTGCCTTACTTTTTTATAAAAAATCATGCTCTTAAAACACGCCACATTTTCAGAAAAAGACTTTTCCCCAAACTAAATACAATTCTACTCTTTCTAATTATAGAGAAGATGATTGACTTGTTTCAGAACAAAAAATTCCAAAAAACTGATGATTTTTCTAAGCCTTTAGCCTTACTTTTTTATCAAAAATCATGCCCCTCTTAAAACGCACATTCTTCAGAAAAAGACTTTTTTCCCAAACTAAATACAATTACCTCTTTCTGATTATAGAGAAGATGATTGACTTGTTTCTAGAACAAAAAAATTCCAAAAAATCGATGATTTTTTAAGCCTTTAGCCTTACTTTTTATCAAAATAATGCCCTCTTAAAACGCCACATTCTTCAGAAAAAACTTTTTCCGAAATAAATACAATTCTACCTCTTTCTGATTATAGAGAAGATGATTGACTTGTTTCTAGAACAAAAAATTTCCAAAAAACGATGATTTTTCTAAGCCTTTAGCCTTACTTTTTTATCAAAAATCATGCCCTCTTAAAACACCCCACATTCTTAGAGAAAAGATTTTTCCCAAACTAAATAAATTTACCTCTTTCTGATTATAGAGAAGATGATTGACTTGTTTCTAGAACAAAAAAATTTCCAAAAAACGATGATTTTTCTAAGCCTTTAGCCTTACTTTTTTATCAAAATCATGCCCCTCTTAAAACACGCCACATTCTTCAGAAAAAACTTTTTCCCAACTAAATACAATTCTACCTCTTTCTATTATAGAGAAGATGATTGACTTGTTTCTAGAACAAAAAATTTCCATAAAAATCGATGATTTTCTAAGCCTTAGCCTTACTTTTTTATCAAAAATCATGCCCCTCTTAAAACACGCCACATTTTTCAGAAAAAGACTTTTTCACCAACTAAATACAATTATACCTCTTTCTGATTATAGAGAAGATGATTGACTTGTTTCCAGAACAAAAAAAATCCAAAAAAATGATGATTTTTCTAAGCTTTAGCCTTACTTTTTATCAAAATCATGCCCCTCTTAAAACACGCCACATTTTTCAGAAAAGACTTTTCCCCAAAAACTCTAATTATACTAATTAACTTATCTCTCTTTCTATATAGAGAGATGATTGACTTGTTTCTAGAACAAAAAAATTTCCATAAAAATCGATGATTTTTCTAAGCTTAGCTTACTTTTTTATCAAAAATCATGCCCCTCTTAAAAACGCCACATTCTTCAGAAAAAGACTTTTTCACGAACTAATATACATTACTACCTCTTTCTGATTATAGAGAGAATGATTGACTTGTTTCAGACAAAAAAATTCCAAAAAAATCGATGATTTTTCTAAGCC